ACTAATATTTTTGGTTTTGGACCCTACTTGCTTTTATTGTATTGCAAAAAAACAAAAACAGTTGCAACATTCTCCTAATCTTCTTTTGTGTTCCACAGAGGAAAGAAAGTCTACATGTTTGGATTGGAATGACATGAGGTTGAGTAAACAGAATTTTCATTTTTTTTTTGTGAACTGTCTCTTTAAATATTTTTGTATGTTTTTTGTTTAAAGGAACCATCAGATATTAAGTAGATATCTGAACGTATTACAATAAATACATTGTAAACACCAGACATACAGTAAGGAACGGGGACAGAGAGAAGAGAAAGAGTGCCAAGCCAGATGTAGGCTAATGTATGGAAAGACCTTGGCCCAGTAATGATGGAGTTCCCACCTACATGCCAGTGCGCGCCTCCTGAGGCACTTGACTGAGCCAGTTACACACTCAACTACCTCAGCTACCATTCACTCACCAACACAAAAACAGCTGCAAATGTTAGTTTCACTGCATGCCAGTCTCCTAAATGACTCTGGAGGTTTACAATTCACAACGGACCACAAACAACTCTCACAAACGTCCTATGATAAATGTTCCGCTCATATTAAGACAACATGCAACGCGCTCACAGACCTGCTGGGATTCTGTAACACGGTATACGCACAGCCATAAACACATACCCGTTCGTTTTCTATAACTTCTATCAATAACACTTGACAAAAGTTAAAACGTGTTTCGACTCAGTCACGCATTAGTTGAGAACAGTAAAGGACAATGAAAACAGACTGTACTCACCCTGCCCGTGCGCGTGGTGCTGACGAGTCTGCAGCGAGCGCGCAGGCACAAGCCTCACACCAGGGGTGCCTGGCAAAATATTCTCTCTCTCTCTCTCTCTCTCTCTCTCTCTCTCTCTCTCTCTCTCTCTCTCTCTCTCTCTCTCTCTCTCTCTCTCTCTCTCTCTCTCTCTCTCTCTCTCTCTCTCTCTCTCTCTCTCTCTCTCTCTCTCTCTCTCTCTCTCTCTCTCTCTCTCTCTCTCTCTCGTCTTTCCCTCCCTCTTTCTTACGTGCGTATTTCCCTCTGATACCCCGTTATCTTCTCCTCCCTCACATGTTCACGGTTACCCTCCCTGTTTATCCTAGTAAAACGAAAGATAGCGAGGCAACGCAGACAATGTGCGTGTGAATGTGTTGTAGGGTCTGGGTTAGTAATGCGCAATGGAAAATGTACTTTTGCATTATGTATGGAAAATGGAAAGATATTTTTTTCTAGCTTGAAGCTTATGTTTGGTGTTAGTGCTTTTGACAGGGAAAAGTAGTTTTGCAAACCATTTATGGTTTACAAATGCACAATATATGGTATTTGTTATCGGCCGATATTAGATCATTTTTAGTTTATCGGTATCAATCGATATTTGATACATAAGAGCCAGTCCCAGCTAACAGGGAATATTCTCAGAACTTTAGCTAATGTTGAGGCAAAGATATGAACAAACATTCTTCCAGTAACATTAAAAAAACATTTGTTCAATGTTATCTGGTCAATCAATGCTCTCAAAAAGTTAGCATACATTTTTTAGGCCAGGTCTAATGTTTTTTAAATGTCTCTACTTTTCAGAGAACATTCAGAAATAACATTTTAATTAATGGGAACTTAAAAGTTAGCAAAAGGTCCTTTGAACATATATTGGTTAGCTGATATATTATAGATATATTGGATATTCAAATTTGTATTCCCCTATCACATTTAGATTACCCATGCTGTCATATAACGCTCACTTAATGCTGTCATATAACGCTCACGCTTCAATTAATCTTTAAAATTGTGTGTGAATGATTATGGTGTGTCTGTAAAAGTGTCGACCTGTCACATTCCAACACTCTCCTTTATGTAAAGAAGCTTCAATAAATTAGTTAGAATGGAGGGAAAGACATTTTAGTCAATAGTGTATTGTGAGAACACACAGACAGAGAGCAGCATAATTTACAGTAAATGAGGGAGTCAGAAAAGGAGACATAGGACTCATTTTCTCCTTACATAGCAATTAGTGCAATTTTCCCTGACAATTTGTCAGAATTCAAACGGAAGTATTTGCAGCTTCAGCAGAATCCAAGATTTACCTGCTACTCAATCTTTGTTGGATTTAACAAAAGAAAATGTGCAGCATGTCTTCTGAAACTCTAGATGAGAGACACATGATTACCCGGGTCTTTTCTCAGAAGAAACATCTGAGAAGCAGCCGACATAAGCAGAAGTCTGTCTGGGAGAAATAATTGAGCATTTGTTATGTTTCTTTTTATCAGAAAACACAAAAAATCAGAAGAATGCACCAATAAGGGCTCACATTTGTCATCATTGGACTCAAGCCTAATCTCATCCTTTCTCAGTTTTTCCGCTGTTAGTCCCATTATACTTTATACGTATTTTTAGACATGATATCAATAGCATAGTACACTCTGACCTCAAGAAGTGAAAGATGGAAAGAGAGGGACACAGAGAGATAGAGATCTACATTACATACAATAATACATGCCAAACTAACACTTCTGAAAACATTTTATTTCTTTGACACACCTTTTTAAATACTTGTCCGATGCTGGAAATCTTCAGTTCAAGAAAAGAAGATGAGGTCATAGAACTGAAAAGAAAGTCATACTGGGGCATTAAAAAAAAAACGAGTGACAGAGATGAAGACAGTTACAGTAAGGAGGTTAGGGTAGTTTTTAATAGGCAGGGTATCTAAGGGTATCCTGTTATATCACTCATGCCCACTGGGACGGCACTGAGGGAGCGATGAGTGGAGAGAGGAAGTGTTGAAATTGAGAGACGAGTGTAAAGGTCTGTCGTCTCATCAGCACCAACACAGACGCCAGAGACGTGACCAGTGAGACGAGGCCAAACGGGTCACTGATAGAGTGGACACACAAAAACTGATGGGTTTACTTCATATATTTTATTTTCACACTCTGAAAACACAAAACAACTCAATGCAAAATCATTGTGCGATCTATCTATCTATCTATCTATGCATTTAACTAAATGATTTTTGATACTGAGGTTTAACCGTTTATTGTGATTGTAAACATACATGGACATTGTAAACAGTGTAATTGCATCAATACATGGAATTTTCACTAATCAGTACATTCATGGTTTAAAGCCGCAGTCTGTAGTTTTTCATCTTTGTCGCCATCTCTGTTCGAAATCTGCAATTGCAGTTATTCGCGGAATTATCAATTTTCCGTGAGTTGTGCCTCGGCACGGCACAGCGCGGATGAATCCAATGTGTTGAGGAGAATGTGCGGTTGTCAGTCACTGCGCGGTGATGTGTCTCTCAAAAAAAGTCATTCAGAATCACAGATTATACTTTTTGGAAGTATGACCAACATAAACATTTTCACCCTAAATTGTCATCTGAACAAGTAACATCCACTTTTGTTCTGACCAACTAAGGGAAAAAAAGCATTGCAGTAAATCGCGCTGATTAACGATCATTTACCATATCACGTCAAACCGTGCAAATTATACTTTGTCAAATTGTTAATGTTAACAACATCAGCATTGCGTGACTACATATAATGCCCTTCCGATATTTGTCCTTGTTTTCGCATGGGTCCGGTTGCAGTCTCTTTTTTTCTGTAGCCACTCCGAAGTCCGAAGTCTTTTGCATTTTACAGTGGGTGAATCTCCAGTTGTCACTGGTGATTGTCGTTTTAACCTTTCTGGATCCGCCATCAATTTGATACGTTTAATTATATCAAGTGCAGTGAGAAAAGGCTATAAATCTCCACCTCCAGCATCCTCACACGCAATACAGCCTACTAGCCGAGAGTCCTTAATTTATGTGTATAGATGTGACGTAATGACGCAAAGACATGCTCGAATTTCCTGCGGAAATCCACCAGTACCACTGCAATTAAAAACATTATTACAAGCTTACCGTTTTGAATCGAGCTAAGGCAAGCAGATAGGTTTGAACACTGGCTGGATATGTACTTGCTCAAAAATTTATTTTGGATCATTTTTAACCCAAAAAAGTTACGGACTGCAGGTTTAAGCACTTTTTAATCCAATGTTTAGTCCTGTTTGCGTAGATGTACTTCGCTAGAGTTTAGTTCCAACCCCAAATCAAGCACCGCTACTAATCGGTTGGGTTAAACAAAAAATTCACAGACAGGTGTGATGTAAATGGAACTATATCTGCAGAAATGTACAGTAGATCTCCATGAGCACCCTGGTTTACAAAGTATCCCATTTACATAACCACAAGATCAGCAATTCTGGGATAAAATAAAAGGTTGGGGAATTTTGACCATGACCAGTAATCAGTCAATTTCGCCTAGTTACAAATTCCAGGAATAATGGACATGATACCAAATTTTTTGATATTTTTTTTATTTGTAAATTAATTTCAGTTATTTTCATCCTACCTTTACACATATCATTTCACCTAACCTGTCACTCCTCCTATCCTGTCTTTCCCACGTCCTAGCATTTTGTCGTCAATGCAATGTTGTATTAGTAGGGCAGTTTGGGCACAGTGTGCAGACTCAGGTCTTTCCAGGTCAGACATCATGAATTTCACTATGCAAGACTAGTTCATGCTGATCTCTGAGACCTCATATTTATATAGTGCCACCTTCAAACAAATAAACACTCAACACCAATTAATTCATCCATAAACTAGAGATTTTAAAGGCTGATTTGAGACCAATTTAGCAATTTAAGTAATATGTGAGCACTGTAAATAAATAAAATATTTGGTTGATAACAGTTGGGGCTGCTTTTTCTTGACACTAGAGGTTGCAAAACATTATGATGAGATGTAAATTGTTTCGTTTTATGCTGATGTAAAAATGCTGATGATATGGTTTAACATGTTCGTAGAAAATTTCTATTATTTATTCTGAATAAACATTAACATGTATACTTTATAATACACTGCACATATTTTATATAGATATGCATATAGATATATGGAATAAATCATAAATATCTAAATTAGCATTTTTTCATAAAGTCATGGATCCCGATAACTTATTTTTGCATAATACTTAGATGATGCAAACATTTATAATCGGTCTCATATTTGGACTGAATTCTGATGCATCTACATATACAGTATGCTCTAACATTCATGTCACAAACAAGTAGTATATATGCTGAAGCATTAATCATTTTTTTGCATCTAGTTGTCATGTGTGTGCCTTCTAAATCATATTACTGAGCTTCTATACCAGTTGTCTGATGCTAAAAGGATGACCAGTGTTTGCTCACCTGTCTACACTTATTTGGTTAACTAAACCAAACCAGAGCGAACAGGATCTCACACAAAGACTGAGTTTGATCTGAGATGAAATAATCAGCTTGAAGTGAACTTTAAAACATGGGGGCAATCATGTTCATGCTGGTTTCTATGGTGCAGTCAGTTACAATTAGGTCATGGCAACTACTAGCATCCAAAAGGATATCCAATAAGATCCTATTGTCCAATGAGATAATGGCATGAATGCATGACCCTTAAATAATTCAGACTAATACTCTCAGAGTGGACTGGCTAAATATTATTAATGCTTATTTTTTTACTGTAAAGATCATTTAAATCATTGTGGTGTTGTTTTAGAAGGAGATGTTTGGTCTAATTGAGACAGACTCCTATTGTAAGCAAGCTAAAGCCAGATTACACAATGTTTTTTTTTTTGGTCACTGTAGTTTAAATCATGAACAGGAGCAGAATAAAAGTCACAAGATGGTTGATGAGGATCGATCAAGGTTTTCTCAGACAGCTGTGAGGGGTGAGGGGGGAAATTCCGGGTTCATGTAGGAGAAGCCTTGGAATTCCTCTTGAGTTATGGCAGCGAGAACATCCGGGTCAGAGGGCGTGAGGGCAGAGGGGGCGGATGTGAAAAACTTATCAAAGTTTTCTCCTTTTTTGCCTCCCTGTGAGAATGGCACACACACACAAAAATCAGTTGGGTTAAGTTTATATCTATTAAATATCAAGCAGACTGAGGGGATGCTCTTGATGATGGTCTAGCGCTGTGAACTCAGAGCACACCCACTTACATACATTCACACAGCATAATAATAATTGCATAGATTAGCATGAGTAATATGGGCAAAGAGCTACAGGCAATAGGGGTCAGGCTTATTTTGCTTCTGCAATCTTCATAAGAAAAAATAACACTAGTAAATATGAAAGCACACATTCACAGATGCATGCTGAAAAAAATAAGGAAGAGCAGGCAGAGCACATTAATAAATACCCAGTTATATGGTTACTGGTTTAAAATAGCCAAAAGAAACTGGCACACATACGCATACTGTACAACGTTTATCTCCCTAAGAAAACGAGGACATAGCACAACATCTATTGTTTCTTATAATTAATGAATTATAATTAATAGTTCAGTCATAGTTACTAAACAAGCAAATTCTATACCATAAATTTTTTTTTGTTAAAAAACTATATAAATGTATATAATACACAACTATAAATATATAAAATGTACATATTTCATATAATAATTTATATAATTCTAACTATGTATATATATTTATGTATTTATTTATTAATTTAGCAAACACTTATCCAAAGCGACTTACAACTGAGGATTATATATCAAATAATTTATTATTAAAATTCTACCACTAAAGATAAAATTTGCAGTAAAAAAATTATAGATATATACAATTTTGGTTGATACCAATAACCGATAATTCTTTATATTTGAAAGCCGATAACCGATATATTGGCAGATAAATCTAAATCCAATTTTTTATATAATTTTTGAGAGCCTGATTAAAAAAAAAAAAAAAGTCTCACCATTAAAAGCCATGTCCCAAGCATAAAATTATAATGTTCTCATTATAATTTTGTGTAGCCTGCCCTATATGACAGACTTGCACTAAAAATTTTTGTGTGATTTGAAGGGATTTTTGAAGTGATTTCAATCATATTTCAGGCTATTCAAAACCATCATTGCAAACAGTGCGCATCTGAGGTGTCTCAGCTGAAGGAAATTATCCATTATTTATCGGCTTTAAAATATCGGCCAAATTCTTTAATTAGGCCGATAACGATAGCATTAAAAATTAACATGTATCGGACGATACCGATGTGGTGGCCGATATATCATGCATCCCTACTATATATATATATATATATATATATATATCCATCCTTCCATTTATTTCTGTATGAATAAATCCCCATAAATATAAATACCGTTTTGATAACCTTAGATAATGAAAATAGAAAATGAGCCCATGTACACATTTGTTTTTCTAACATGATGGGGAGTTTTGTGGGGTAAACCTGACCCACACACAGAGACAAGTGGTGTGATAAGTGATACTGACACTTCTGGGTTTGAAGGGAGGCTGTATCTCCAGTCTCTCCAGCCGATCCCAGTCTATCCAGCGGAAAAAAGGATGCTCCCGCAGCTCTCTCTCTGCATCCTCTCCTCCACCCAAACGCTTAACAGGGTTCTTGGTGAGGAGCTGGGGGAGAAACAGATGGAGAAAGAAAGAAATACAGAAAGGATGGAATTACGCTTGTTGTCTAATTTAAGTCACGGTTTTCGGAGGTAATGTTAGTATTAAAGATGGGATAGATTGCTCTGCGCATGCACTGTGATCCAAGTATATGTAGGCAACAGTGATGAAAGAACAGGAAGTAGATTACCCCTTTGCAGATGGCCACAGCCTCCCGAGAGAGACTCTTAGGATATGAAACGCTCTGTTCCATGATGGACTGAAACAGCTCCTCCTCATCTATGCCATCAAAAGGAGGCTGATGAAAAGAGCGAGACAGAGGGAGAGGGTGCCTGGGATGAAGATCTATTGAGAAAAGGACTAAATTAAAGCTCAAGGAAGAAGAGGATGAACAATTACCTGCCCAGCCAGCATCTCATAAAGGAGGACTCCATATGACCACCAGTCCACTGCTTTACCATACGGCTGATACGCCACAATCTGAAAACAATACAGATCTATTGTAAAGGGCTTTTTTAGTCTAGATTTATTCAAATGATAATTAAGAATGCCTTTTGAATTCCAGCTGAATTCTTTCATTTGTACTGAGGTAGCAAACAGGATGTAGAATTCTCATAAAATGAGATAGTGTAGTATGAATTGCCAACATGCTTTCTTGTACAAATTATATGTGGAATTTCTAAAAACATTAGATATTAAAATGTGATAACATTTATATTCATATTACATTTTCATATTTATATAAAATATGTAATATCATTAAAATGTGTCATTTATTTAATTGAATAAAATGAAATTACACTACTATTCAAATGTTGGGGTTAATAAAAAATTTTTTTTTGGAAAGAAATTAAAAAATGTATTCAGTAAGGATGGATTAAATTGATCAAAAGTGATGGTAAAGACATTTATAATGTTATATAAAAGATGTATATTTCAAATAAATGCTGTTTTGAATGTTCCATTCATCCAAGAAACCTGAAAAAAAAATGCATCACGGTTTCCGCAAAAATATTAAGCAGCACATCTTCAACATTGATAATAAGAAATTTTCTTGAGCAGTAAATCAGTTTATTAGAATGATTTCTGAAGGATCATGCGACACTGAAGACTGGAGTAATGATGCTGAAAATTCAGCTTTGCCATCACAGAAATAAATTAGATTTTAAAACACACTAAAATAGAAATGTTTTTTTTGAAATCGTAATAATATTTCACAATACTATTTTTTCCCCTGTATTTTTGATCAAATTAATGCGTTGATGGGCCTTCTTTCAAAAACATTTAAAAATCTTAACAACCCCAAACTTTTGAATGGCAGTGTAGGTATTTTATTATTTCGTAATATTAATTTTAATATTACATAATGAATAAATGATACTTCACAGAATACTCTTTAAAATGGAGACAAACAACATAAAGCATGATGACAAGATGAAAACCTTAAGTTGAGCACTAGGTATGATCTGGTCGGTTTGTTCTTGTCCATTTTGTTCCTCCGTTGTCTGATTGTGTTGAATTTTCTTGAATTGCAATTCAGTTAATTCCACTTCCCATCATTACAATTCAAATTCAACACCCTGTGGAACGTAACCAATTCAAATCACATTCCAACTGAAAGAGAGCCAAAACATAAATTCAAAATTTTGCCCATCCCTGCTAAATGCTTCATAATTTCATAATGTTATATTCTCAAAATCAGAAATATACCCCTTGCAGAGTTGCTATTACAGGCCTCTCAATGTGCAGATAAGCTCATAAAAATCATATTAAAGATAATTACACAATAAATATGCTAGTATCTCTGTGTCAGCCGTGAGTGTGTGTCACAGCGTGAGAAAGAGAGATTAATTTCCTTGCCTGCAGGGACACATATTGCATCTTTTCAAAATGACATGGACACAAAGATCAATAGCTTTTTCTTTTTTCCCCCCTTTTTTTACATAACGTGATCAATGTGAGCCAGTTTAACTGCTGGGTTAATACAGTACTGACGCATATTGTGCTTCGGTAGACCCACATTCGCACGTATCGCCTTTACATCACACAGCAAAACACAAACACTGACGATTTAGCACATACATCACTCGAGTGGGATGTCCATCATGTCGCAGTGTAGTAAACACCGCAGTGAGCCAAAATGAAATCACACACAGACTCGCACAAGCACATACAGGCAGACATGTGCTGACTGCGCATATCCACTGAGTGTTAATGTAAACACAGAGCCAAGGTCATGAAGAAGAGAAGATGAATCAGACAGGAGGAGAAGAAGGATGGAGACAGAGAAAGGGAAACCTCAGGTGCGATGTAATCGGGTGTGCCACAGAAGGTGCGAGTGGTGTCCCCTGCCATCATGCCTTCCCTACACATCCCAAAGTCTGCTATCTTTGTGTGTCCTTCACTGTCCAGCAGGACATTGTCCAGCTTTAGATCTCTGCGGATCAGAGAGAGAAAGAGAAAGCGAGAGAATATTAAATGACTGTAACATATGGTGTGCTTGCGTAAGGAGATGCCCATCGTGTCTTGTACCTGTATATGATTCCTTTGTTGTGCAGGAAGAACAGACCCAACGCTATCTCAGCTGCATAGAACCTGCCAACATCAAGATCTCTCATTAACTCCATTAAACACACATGCTGCCACTGCAGGGCAGAATGACAGAACAGGTGGATTTAGAGACAGAAGAAAGGGGGTACAACAACTGAGAAAAAGCAAGCAGGATTAAGACGAAAGGTTGAAGAAGAGAAGTGCTGAACTCACGCTGCGTGTGGTTCTTTAAACTTGCCAACAATTTGGATGTGAAACATAAGATCACCTCCATTCACATACTCCATGACGTAATACAGACGATCCTACAGCAAAAAAAAAAAAAAACCCGGATAAGCAACTTCAGATTATTAATAGGAACTAAAAATAAAACGTCAATCAATTCAATTGTTCTCATGCTATATAAGTAAATAATACAGGAAATGCCACAGCAGATTAGCAATCAGTCAAATCGAAAGATAGATGTTCATAAATACATGAATACAAACACAATTAAGACCTTGTGATCACACAATGGAAAATATAATAATTTAGAGAAATTACATTTCAAATAAAGCATGGGCAAAGTGTCAAAATTTAAGTATCTAGTAAAAAATGCATAGTTTTTAAATTTAGTTGAAAGTAAAGGGTTAGTTCACCCAATGTTTTTTTGGCCTTCAAAATCTATGGTACCATTCACTCCCATTATAAAGCTCGGAAGAGCCAGGATATTTCTTAATATAACTCTGATTGTGTTTGGCTAAAAGAAGAAAGTCATATACAGCTAGGATGGCTTGAGGGTGAGTAAATTATGGGATGATTTTAAGAGAGCTAATGAAAGGCTAATGAAATTGTCTATTGAAACCAGAGTGATTATATATACCACATGCAGCACAACTGTTTTCAACATTGATAATAATACGAAATATTTCTTGAGCAGCAAATAACCGACACTGAAGACTGGAGTATTGATGCTGAAAATTCAGCTTTGCCGTCACAGGAATATATTACATTTAAAAATATATTAAAATGGAGAACACTTATATTAAATTATAACACTATTTCACAATATTACGCTGTAAAAAGAGATACATTGAATTCACTTAAAAAAAAATGCCTTAAAATCATTAAGTAAATAAACTTCATGCTATTTGAAAAATGTAAGTTATGTGAACTTGACAATTCCACATAACTATTATAACAATTAGCATTAAGTTTATTTACTTTATAATTTTAATGCAACAGGTTCTCTCACTTTTTACTGTACAGTTTTACTGTATTGTTGATCAAATAAATGCAGCCTTGGTGAGCCAGCTGACTTTATCTGACTACAGCATCTGGAGTTTGTAGGATTTGAACTTCTGATCAGTGGGATGCTGCATTTTTCCACTGGGCAACTGATTGCTTTGACTATTTCTCTATTTCATGTACTTGATACAACGAGACACAGTTTAAATACACAAAAGAGGTCATTACTAAACACAGTCTCATTGAGTGTTTGTTACAAATTCAATCGACGGGGGAAAAAAAAAATCAAGATCATTTACCAAGAGTAATTCAAACCTTCACAAACCATTAAAGCCAGACATAAACACACACACACACACTCCTCTTTTTCTCTCTTTCAGTACAGCAGCTGCCAATGTATTTCATTAGGCTGATTGCCACTTTGCAAAACGTGTCTGCTGAAAGAGGTCAGACAATTAGCACTACCAAAAGTCATTTTTCAAAGCAAAATGAGGCAACTAACATTGTAAAAAGGCCCTCCAGATTCATTAGTTAGAAAAATGATTTATCGTGTCAAAGTGAATCGTGGAAAAATGATCAATGAATCACCTTTTATGATGGAAATTTTTCTAGGTTGCCAGTTTAGGACTCACATGACAGCATTCCAAGAATATAATTAATACATTGTCAGTACATTTGTTCATCCATTGTTCATGCTGATGTTTTATAAACACTGTTAGTCAAAATTGTAACAACAATCTGTTCTTGTTACTCCTCTCCCTCTCAGGACTGCTAACAGCCTTGTTCAGGGCAAATTAATTAATATTTCGGTGCCTATCTAGGCCAATGTAAACAACCATCTAATGAGGTAAAAGAAGAATAGTAACAACGATGCTTTAATTTTTACTATGATTGAACAGCTTTAGTCCATAGCTAACACATCAGTAGAGGTGCGATAAAAAAAATCCATTAAAAAGTACTTTTGAAAAATACAACAGTTACAGTTGTTATGCAAATTATTTATTAAAAAAAAGTAATTAGTTAGACATTAGTTATCTAAATCTACTGTTGACATAAAACTGTATTGTATGTCTTTCGTTTATTTTCAGCTTAATCTAGCATTATTAAGACATTAGCAAGAGTCAATTACAGTAATTATTAAACAGACATATTTTGTGGTGACTACTTAAAGCTGCAGTCCGCAGTTTTTCCTCTTTGTCGCCATCTCTGTTCGAAATCTGCAATTGCAGTCATTCGCGGAATTATCAACTTTACGTGAGTTGTAGTTCGACACCGCTCAGCGCGGATGAACACATTGAGGAGATTGTGCGGCTGTCAGTCACCGCGCCGGTGTGGATACTGGCATTCGGAATCACAGATTATTCTTTTTGGAAGTATGACCAACATAAGAATTTTCACCGGAAAATGTCATCTGAACTAGTAAGTAACATCCACTTTTGTTCTGGTTCTGACATTGCAGTAAATCGCGCTGATTAAATCTAAAAATCGCTTATCATCACGCAAAACCGTGCAAATTATACTTTGTTCTCAACTTGTTAATGTTAACAGCGTCAGCATTGCGTGACTACATGTAATGTCCTTCCGATATTATCCTTGTTTTCGCATGGGTCCGGTTGCGGTCTCTTTTTCTGTAAGTTAGCCACTCCGAAGTCCGAACGAAGTCTTTTGCATTTTACAGCGGGTGAATCTGTTGTCACTGGTGATTGTCGTTTGAACCTTTCTGGATCCGCCATTAAATTGATAAGTTTAATTATATCAAGTGCTGTGAGAAAAGGCTATAAATCTCCACCTCCAACATCCTCACACGCAATATAGCCTACTAGCCGAGACTCCTTCTTTATGTGTATAGATGTGACGTAATGACTCAAAGACATGCTCGAATCTCCCGCGGAAATCCACCAGTACCACTGGAATTAAAAACATTATTACAAGCTTACCGTTTTGAATCGAGCTACAGCAAGCAGATAGCGTTGAACACTGGCTGGTTATGTATTTTCTCAAATATGTATTTTGGATCATTTTTAACCCAAAAAAAGCTACGGACTGCAGCTTTAACAACAATTTACTGCTGAAGCCACCACCATTTTGAATGTTTTCGCATGATGTTGCAGTTTACAAGTTGTAATTAGGAGCTTTATAAGGATGTGAGCATTTTTTGCAAGTCAGAATCTCTTATTTACGCTAATTCCAAAATGCGATGAACGTCATGCTTTGCTTTATCTTGGAAACTCCCCTGTTATTAGACACTTTCACCCCCTGAATGGCATCAGTACCTAAAAACATCAGTGGTGCATCCACTCCACTAGGTGTCAGTATATATCAACCAGCACAAAACAAACAAAAAATTACTGCATTCATCGTTACAAGTAGCCAGTCGTTGCCCTGGGAGGCCACATGTGGACATGAAGGACCCACAAAATGTCAGTACTCATGTTCTAACTGTGCAAGGCCAAAAAAGTGATTTAAAAATCCCCCTGAAGGTGAAGAGCACATCTGTTCCATCACTAAGGGGCGAATGACATTTCAGCCCATGTATATTTCATAATTTACAAATGTGCATAGCATATGCATGTGTAAACCTCATTTTCAGGCTCCCACTTTCTTTAAATCATTAACCATTCACATACGCTCTCACACACGACGATGAGCACACCGACCTCAGTCTGAAAGGCGCAGTAGAGGGCGGTCAGAAAGTGAGGTCGCCCCGCGAGGCCCAGCACTCTTCTCTCCACCATGGCGCTTTCCGTGTCCTCATCCTGAAACAGTACATCTTTCTTCAACACCTTCACCGCAAACAAGCGCTCGCTGCCCCTCTCCTCTGCCAACAGGACCTGCGGGATGACAAGGAAACCTCACGTTAACATTTCTTCAACATTAATAATTAAGAGTTCATCATCTTCTGCACACACTCCTCCAACAGCAACTCAATTGGGCAAACACAAAATGACTGAAGAAAACAGCATTCAAAGTGAGTTTAACATGCATAAGGGAACATAACCTCAAATAAAAAAAAGAGAACATAAATTTCTTCATTTCATTTACTCGTATGATCCTGTGCTCTTCATGTCTTTTTTCCCCTGCTTTGTGTCATTTTTCTATCTCTGGGTCCCAGGCCTTTCCTCTGCGCTTTTCTTTAATCTCTTCCTTCGTTTCTATCCTTTCTTCAGCGCGGTTCTGCGCCCTGGAGGATGTGCTGTCTACTGAGTATAACCCTGGCCTCTTATATAACCAAATATCTTGTGAGCACACACACACACACCAGAAACACACGTACACACACAACATTTACTCTAAAATTATTTGATATAAATGAGCATCACCACAAGGGCAAACAAACATTTCTCCACACGCTCAAACAAACGAGTGTAAAAAGCACACACACACACACACACACACACACACACACACACACACACACACACACACACACACACACACACACACACACACACACACACACACACACACACACACACACACACACACACACACACACACACACACACACGTCATTCTTCCTCAGGGATCAAACAGCTCAGAGTCCTTCACTTGTATGCTGTTCTCTGACCCACGACAACAGAATTTAGATTCAGAGGAACAGCGCTGTGCTTGACCAAAACCAGGCATTGGCTCTGAAATATTCCAACATCCCCTGGGCTGCTTGTGGACACACAACCCCACCAGGTCTTTCTTACATGTATCACAGATCGCGCTTTAGTTAGCACTTAACGTGATTGGCCGAACACAGAAATGACCATGTGGCTAAGTATCTCCAGGTTTTTTGAGGTGTATGAGGTACAAATCTCACTGGGCCTTGAGTCAGAGCTTCTGCTTCCTCGAGGAAGAGAGGCAGAGGCACAGCTGCAAATTTTAGATAGGGAAATCAGCCCCCTCCTCTTGCAGCTGGGACCAGAAAAGCTAGCGTTTCCCCTTCTGCCTGAATTAGCAGCAGCAGCTCAGGAACGAATGAGACAAGGGCCTAAATCAGTTCCAAGGACGCTGTACCCTTCGCACTCCTTATTGCATCTACAGGGAACATAGAAGTAGACGTGTTTGTTGATGGGTGAGGGTAGCCTGACTTTCGGCATAAAAATCTGGTCTGCTTTGCAGCCAATTCTGTCCCAAAACCACCTACTTAGACTTAAGCCCAAAGTATACTTCAGTTTTGACACAAATGCTAGTATATGTGAATAGCTGAACGCATAGCCTTTCAAAGTATATGGCATTTGGAACACATGTGCGCTAGAAAGTTTCATCCAGTGTTTGCACTATTTCCTCTCCAGAAGTTATAAGTGATAAAAATGTCTTTGTACTCATTTAAACTAGAGTTGCTGGTATCTCTTAATTGCCTCTCACAAGCTCTTGTCAATGCAGCTGTCTATTGTGGTTGCTGTCTCCAGTAGTTTGTGATTGTTGTTGCTCTGTCTCCTCCATTTCCTTTTTTTAACAATGTTGAAAATGCCCAGTGTTGCCACCTTGAGGACAAACTAATTAGCGCAAAAACATTCAAGCTGCATGTGCAAATTGAGCATGCCGGGTATTCGCAATTAGAAAAATCTGTCTGTGTGCTTACTATGCTGATGATGAAATTTGCATCAAGCGCACTACAAGCATACCTTAGCGTACATAGAAAAACTTAAGTATACATCAGCTTTGACGCGAACCCGAACGCATAGCCTGTACTTCAGTGCACACTGTTTGAGTTCAGCCCTGTTTTTGTGTCCGTGTACAACAGCACATGTGGAAGTGATTTGAGAGCTTTTAAAGAAGGGGCCACAATGCATCTATCCAGGGGCGCTCACACTACAATTTTCATTCCATTGACCTGCATGGAAATAACGCACGTGAATGTGGGAAACCGGAAATGCAAACTCATGCGAAGTAGTTTCGGATTCCGCTGTGTTCCAAAAGTTCAAGTTTGGTGAACTCTGACCTGCAAATTCGTATTACGTGAAGATATGTGACCAACAGAACACTGTCAGAGAAAATGTCCAAAAAAGGCACCTTTAGAGGTACAGCAGCTTGCCACTGGGGCAGTACCCATAAAAGGACAACTTTGTACCTTATCTACCCATAAAAGGTGCATTTTAGTACCTTATAGAATTATGTACCCTTGAGCTACTACTAAGAACTTTTACAAGTAAATAAGAAACAAAGATGTCCTTTGAAGGGCCCTACCCCAGTCACAAGCTCTTGTACCCCTAAAGGTGTAATTATTGCACATTTTTTCTGAGAGAAGATCAATTGAATAAAAATAAAATAAAAATGTTTGCAGTAAAGTGGAGTCGATTGTATATTGTTTATATTTTGGATTCATTATTATTCATTATATGTTGAATTAAGGTTTTTAAAAAAGATGTCGCAGAGTGTGATGTCATATCATGACCATTGCAATATCTGTAGTAGTATCTGTAGAAGTTACGGGTAACATTACAAGTAGCATGAGTTACATAATCAGATTACTTTTTTCAAGTAACGAGTAAAGTTCTACAACAAAATATCTGAATTACTTTTTCAAATAAGTAGTGCAAGTTTTCCCATTATTGACTGACACACCTCTCCTGTCCTGTTGTTGAGAGAAATCAGGAGTTAGGTGCAGTGGCAGGGGTGTAACTTTCCCTAACACTGAGTGTGACTGCAGCTTTACGTTCAAAGCGGTATACTTTGAAATGCCTGGGCATGGAACGTGGCAAAATTTATTTTATCTGAGCCTTAAGAAAAATCTGACTGTGTGCGTACAGTACACACGTACTATGCTGATGATTATTCATTTTTTCAACTCAGTACCTTGTAAACATATTTTATTTACAGATGAACCAATAAATAAATAAAACTCTGTCATTACTCTTGAAAGTTGCATAAAGCAACCCGAACAGACTGAAACTTGTTGATTACAGTCAGCGCTTGTCGTTTTGGTGTTCAACATGCATCAGACAGTCAGTGAAGCGAGTGGGCGGTTCGTGGGAGTGTTGTCTGAGTCTACAGAGTTTGGTTGAACGAAATACATCTATTTTTTACACATCCAAAAAATGTGGTGTAGTGGCAACATGCACTGTTCATTTTACATAATAGCAAAATCCTGGCACATTTTCATTGTGACACCGCTAATTTCAAGCACCTTGCCAAAACTCCCTTTGCCCAGAACCATGAGGAAGTTGAAATCGTGCAGTCCGATTTGGCCATTGCCCGTGTGCAGTACAGTGGGAGTCGGGCTTAGAGCGGGTGGGGTCACAGAAGGAACAGGTGTTATGTTAACATGAGGAGGAGGAATAGAGGGTTCGATAGCAGCCTCTGGTACCTTCAGAAAAGAGAAACACAGGATGAGAGAAAGAAAGAGAGAAACATAATAGTTTGTTTCAATATAGACATACACTGCCCTCTTGTGGATGTGTTATGAAAGTGACAATTATGGTGCTCACTGAAGACTTGGAGATGGTGGTTAGACGACATCTAGAACATGTTTTGCTGCAACGTTGAGTGTGCAGTGTTTGAGCATGTGGCTATTTGACTCAAAAAGAACATTCGATTTTAGATGAATGTGTTTATTTGTGGAGCTGTGCTGGCCCCAGGCATCTATCAGCGCTCTCTCTGCTGAATATTGCATGTTTATACTTGTATTTAAAGTGATTCAAAATACACCTATTACAGGAATAATCTTCCCTAGAGCAAACTGGAGTAAAGTGCTTTGCTCAAGGGCACAAAAATGATGCTTCCTGGATAGTCACTTGAAGGTTTGAGTCAACAACTTTTCAATTGTCATCCCACAACTTTAGTACTTAAAGCTTTCTGCGGATTTTCTGCGAAATCCATCGGATGTGACGTGCATGCGCGGTCCCGAGCCTCTCTCCTTTTTATATACAGTCTATGCGACAGCACTGCAGCGAACGACATGGAGTCTGATAACACCCAAAAACTCCTGCCTCCAGCACAACACAGACTCCAACATAAACTCCACATAAATATAAAAAACAAAACAAAAATGTATCTGCTGAAGCTCGTCAGGCCAAACGTGAATCGGATCGACTTAGGACGAAAACACGGATCAACATCGGCAGAGCGTTTGAATTATGGAGAGACCTCCGCTATTTTTATTGTGATAAATTGCAAGTTTTCAGGTATGCTGAAATAAATAATGGTAAACTGTAATGAAATAGCAAGGTAAACTACAACATACATGAGACATGAAATGAATACAAAAGACTGTTCCAGGATAACAAAAAGTAGGTGCTTTAGGATGTAACTTTTATTTTATGTACACTCATCCCAATACTATCATATTGTTTATAATACACATTTCCAGACACGTTCAGTACAGTAATGTTACTTCCTACGATCTTACTGTTACACTGAAATTGTTCAGTCTAGTCACTAACTGTTTTCGTTCTCATATTATACATTCATCTATGTTGACATTGCGCTGCCTGATTGTGAAAGATACACGAATAGTTAGTGAAATGCCTTATGCTAACACCACATGCCGGCTAAATGCAGTCAATGTAACGTTATCATGGTACGAGCATGGAGCATTAGTTCAACGTCAAGCTGATAAAAGTAGCCTATTATTGTAACGTTGCAGTGGGAGTTTACATGAGTTTCCAGCATGTTGTGTGATGCTTTCTCCGGTGTATTGAAAGTCTCAGAGTGGCCGGTACCATGAGTGCTCGCTCTTGTGTTCGAGCACGCACAAGAGCACGAGGGCTCTTGTAAAAATTGGTTGCAATCTGAAACAACACCGATAGAGGCCGCTAAAAAATACATATAGCACCTTTAATTTAAAAATGAGCTGTATAGGTGGTCAGACCATAAATGTGACAATTCACACACACACACACACTATTGAGAGTACCTGCAGGTCTGGGTCGGGTACAGGGATGTTATAATACTCTCCCTCATCCTGGTTGAGAAGTTTGAACCAGCCGCTGACGGAACGTCTGAATATCTCAGTAACACCAAACGACAGAGCGCCCATGAAGTCATTCCTTGAGGTCCGGTCCCAGTCCCAGACCTCTACAGACAAACGCCTGTCCCACTGCCTCCCACGCACTGAACTACACTCAGACAGAAGGAAAGAGAGAGATAGCCTAGCATCCACTCAGAAGACTTAGCAACAGCATAGCAGCACCTTGGCAACCACCCACAATACCCTCATGGCAACGACTTCAGCATCGTACACACATACAAACAAATGAAATAAACACTCACAAGGTGAAGCTCTCGTTCCAGATGGGGTTGAGTGTAGAACGGATAGTTTTGGTTTTCTGTTTGCTCTGGCTCTTTGGATCAGGAATGAGTTTGAGCTTCACATAAGGGTCCGACAGGCCGTTAGGGTCCATGGGTATCAGGTTATGTGCCTCATGCACTAAAGCGTAGAATTCATATTGAGAACTAAGCATGTGTTTATACATAACAGTATTTGCATGAATTATCTTATGCAATAGAACAAAACAAAACGAATGTACATGCAGATGTGCACTGTAAAAAAATTGTTGTTTTAACTTAAAAAGTAAGTGTTTGTTCTGCCTTAAAATTTTGAGTTTAGTCAACTCAAATATCCAAGTTTCACTTAGTATAATGTCACATTTCAAGTTGACTAAACGTAAAATTTGAAGGCAGCAAAAATACTTTAAAATACCTTCAGATTTTTCAACAGTATGCCTTGTACACACGTGTTCACTTCAGTTGTATTATTAAATTGACCTGCCAGAATGACATGACAGCAGTGCACTTTTAAATGCTCACATTCTCTGTAGAGCATTAGTAGTCTTCTCACTACTCATTAGACTCTCTATGGTGGTGCTGATGTAAGAGCCACAGGCTTAGTTAAGTTTACACAGTGCAGCTAATGCAATGTAATACAGCAGATTGTGTGTGTATAATTAGCTTTTTCCTCGTGTACTGATGATGCTGTATGCACACATTTCCCTCTGCTGGAGGAAAGCTGAGCTGTGCCACACGGCTCATAATGCATCTCCAGTGTGCTTTCTTAAACAGCAGATTCTCTCTGTGAGCAAAGGAGTAATTCTTCATTGGGGTATAAATACAGCAGGAGCACCTTAATAAACATTACGTACACTTTCCATTAATAAGGGATACAACAAGGACAGCAGCCATTATTCATTTTCTAAGGGGTTTGAAATTTTTGCAATCCTGTTACCAAAACTTGGGCCCATGTATAAACCTACATATTTCTTTTACATAGCAATTTTAAAGTAATACATAAAGTAGTAATACAATTTTGATACACTTTATTAATATAAAGCTAATACAATAAAAGGTACAATATACAGTTACTGAGCTACATATATATGTATCTTAAATTAATCTGTCACTCAGAAGGTGTTATATAGGGATACGTTTATGAATATCTATACAAGTTTTTTTCAAGTTTCTTTTTTTCCCTGTATTTGGGGAACAGGGTTGGATGATTGCGCTTGACAAAAGCAATCAAATGTGATCCTGGATCACAAAACCAGTCACAAGCCGCACGGGTATATTTGTGGCAATAGCCAACAATACATTGTATGGGTCAAAATGATCGATTTTTCTTTTATGGCAAAAATCATTAGGCTATTAATAAAGATCATGTTCAATGAAGATATTAATTTGTACTACCGTAAATAGATAAAACATTTATTTTTGTAAGTGAATGCAGCACAATCACGAACATAAATGAACAACTGTAAAGGCGATTTTCCCAATGTTTCGATTTTTTGCACCCTCGGGTTCCAGGTTTTCTTATTGTTCTATCCTAACAAACCATACATCAATGAAAAGCTCATTTATTCAGCTTTCAGATGATGTATAAATATCAAATTTCAAAAAATTTACCCATGTGACCGGTTTTGTAGTCCAGGGTCATATATATATTTCCCATAATGCAGAAGAGTCCAAATTATGTTACTTATAGGGCGTCAAAATTTTGAAGAATGTTACTTTTTTTTTGTAATAGGATAAATCATGCAGTGACATGGTTGCATGCTTTTTTGGTCATTAAAATGAGTTAATATCAAGCAGTTTTTTTTTGCAAAAACAAATTGAATATTAATTAGATGGATTGTATCAACATCATGACATTGTTGTATCAATTTTGTTGGATACAGTCAAGAAAGTCAAGACCTCATATGTGGGACAGCACACAAATAAAAACATGTAATAACATAACATGTTATAATAATAATAATGTAAATAATACTGTAATAACATAACTTAATGTTAAGTAAGTTTACACAAAAAAGTCATGGGACACTAAAGTGTAGAGCATCCATGAATGAGCTTTTTGAGAAGTTTTATAGTGTTCAACAGTTTTAAAACTCACGTGTGCCCGGTTTCACAGAAAAGGCTTAAGCTAGTCTCGAACTAAAATGCATGTTTGAGCTGTTTTAACTGAAAGATACTTGCACTGGCATTTCTTAAAATATGTCAGTGCCATTGTTTTGTCTCAAGATGCACACCAGTAATGTTTTTCTAAGGCAAGTTTACTTAAATGTCCTAATTTAACCAAGTCTGTGAAACCAGGCCATGTAGTTACAGGTATGTTCACCTGTGACATATAGGTCTTCCTTCTCTCCACGCACGGTGAGACGAATCCGTCCCCTTTTCTCAGTGTGGTCCTGTCCGCACAAGCTGGGGACGCTGCTCTCACAACGCTTGTGTACATTAATGTCACAACCTCTCTCACACAGACACACAAACAGACAAATAACACAAAAGACAGCAAGAAAGAGTGATGTACTTAGAGTCTCCCGTCTGTCCAAAAACAATAATTATAAAGTCCAAATCTAATATAAACAGTGTAATTGTTAACGGCCATTGTCATACGTTGTACATTATGAGACAACATGCTGAAACAGCAAGTGCTGTCAGCTGCAACAGCCTGCTTTATTATTCTCTAAAAGTGTATCATGTCATGCAAATTATATTAGATGACATGTTTATTACATGGATTAAGTGATAGTTAAAGGGAATTAATTCAATCTGATATACAGTATGAGATATCTATTAAAAGCCTGAAAAACATCACTCTACAGACAGTACTACAATTACATATAATTACAGAAATTATGTTCATTTAATAACAGTGATCTTGATAATTATGATATGCTAATCTTAGAATTGATACAGTTTAATCAGGATAAAATTATCATTATTTAAAAATTATATGAATGTTGTTCTTCATGTAGAATTTGAGCAAGAAATGACCATGGACTTAATTCATCAAAAGTTAGTATAATATTTACTGTAATTGGTAAAAAAAAAATAAAAAAAAAAATTACAATTTACAATCATTTATATATCCTTGCATGGCTGGCAGGATTACGCTGTAAACCCTAAAATGTATATGCACAAAGGATTTGAGTAAATTAAATTTCACCCAATCCCTCAAAAACTTAGTGAATGAACTATATAATAATAAAATATAATATAATATAATATAATATAATATAATATAATATAATATAATATAATATAATATAATATAATATAATATAATTAAGTGACACTTAAAAGTAACACTTTTATTTGCAAGGCTCCTTTTCAATTAAAAACTATATTTTAATATTGCCTAAATATTTTAAGCATTGCGGAGATTGGGCAGGGGACTTTTTCATTTATATTATATTATAATAATTATTATAAGCATGAGAAACAACATGTGCATATACATATATATATATATATATATATATATAGAGAGAGAGAGAGAGAGAGAGAGAGAGAGAGAGAGAGACACTCACTGGCACATTTCATGCCCTGATGTATGAGGCCGTAGAGCAGAGACCCACAGTGATCACAGAAGGTAGGACTGGAGTATGTCTGTACTTTAAACTTGTGCTTGCTCTTGAGATCCTGGAGAGAGGGACAGAGAAAAACATTGTCCTCACTTCATTATTTAATTGCTTATTCCGTTGGCAAAAGCACTTTGATGCGTTTTCATATTTAAAAAAGAGGGGCACCATGCACACCCAGTTCTTGGAAATGGTTGACCATGAGAGAAAGAAAAAGAGATTTAAATTATGTGTCTGATAAGAAGCCCTCTCATACTGTTCTTTGCTCTATAAATAGGACATGCTCTATAAATAGGACAAGCGTTATGCACAAACAAACACAGATACTCTACTTTCCCTCTGGTTCTCTCTCTCTCTCTCTTTAAAGGTCCAGAGGAAAGGCTTCATTTTGAAGTGACTTTTTCACTGGGAGCCAATTAGCCAGGGCTATTTTGAGGATGAATGGTGGATGAATATGAGTTCTGCTCAGCTGTGAAAACTGAATCCTCCTAAATGCCTAAACCCCCTCCACCCCACCCTCATTTCCCTCTCTCTTCCTCATTCCCACTCTCTGCATGCTGCCCACTCCTTTTCTTCATCCTCTGACACTTCTCTCCCTCTCTTGTCAGTCTGCCTCATCCGCCTTTCACACAGGCATCATTGTCTACCCTTCCTTATGGCCTAGTTGCACACAAGCACTCCTACTTTACCTCATTTTACAACCATTCTATTTAGCAGCTTTTGAAAAAATCTCATAAAAAAGTTGCAACTATGCTCCTGAGGAAGACATGATAAAATAAATACCGTAGATTTGATCCAAAACCCAGTGAGATGCCTCACTGCCAACATAGGCAGATGCCTTTTAAAACAGTGTCCCCAACCTTCATGGAAGACGAGATTCAGAGCGCTCGACATGCCACACAAACATTGCTTCACACACTCAGTTTGTATCGATTTCAGTAGAGTTTGACGTTAGCATGTTGCTAAGCTAACAGTGTGACTCTAATAACCATTTTTCATTACATTGAACTATTTTTATCAACACTTTATGGCATTGAATGAAATATATAGGTTTGCAATCAACATTTATCTCACTTTGTCCACCATTTATTTTTTTCAATGTGCTTTTGGCAACGACTTAAACACAAATGATACATTTGAGCAACAGACTCCCATAGACTTAATATATCCATCAATATAATATCAATACAAAATAATATCAAACAATATAATATCCATCTATCCATTCTCCAAACCGCTTCTCCTGTCTAATGTAATGTAATATAATACGTATAATATTATAAATTATTAAGTAAAAACAACACTATTTTATTTTTTTATAAGTACTTATTAGTTCTTGTAAGTATTTGTAAGTTCTTTTTTAATATCAATTTTACTTGCAAAAATTGCAAACGATTATAATTATTATCATTAAGCATTATATTGTTATATTATATTGTATTGTTTTTTGATTAGATTATGCCCTGATATATATATATATATATATATATATATATATATATACACATTTTTCCTGTAATTAGTAGCAATTAATCGCACCTTTTTATGAAAGAAGGCCAGTATCACCGATACACATTTTCTTCTCAATTTTAGCCATTAATTATAGCCATTTAGAATTACAGTATAATTGCTATCAATTTTTACATTTATTAGGCTTTAAAAAAAAAAAAAACTTTTAATTTAAGTGAACTTAAAACAATCTTCACACAAACACATTATAATAAATGTTACATTTACCTGTGCCCTTTAATATATCAGGGTTCAGTTCAATTTTTTCTATTGGCTCAGTCAGACCAGTTCAGATTTTTACTTGCCCTGTCAAAATGCACAAAAAGTGATTGTTTTCATTGTTTTTGACGAGAAAAAAACCAATGCTGCATTAATTGCGCTAAATATTTTTTAACAAATTAAACTAAAAAAATAACTGCGTTAATTCTGACAGCATTTTTTACTACACAAATAAATTTGTATTTGGAGGCAGCAAAATTGAGCTGTTTCACTTTTGAAACAATCTTTGGAAGAGGCCCATGATGCCTTTGATGAAAAGAGCTGCCTACGTAGGCGGTTAACTAGCATTTGGAACAGAGGTAGTGTGTTACAACATAGCCCCTTCCTGGTTTTTCTCTTTCACACATATTCTCACACTCACTCTGTACTGTACGAGCGTGAGTAGCAGTGTAACACCATCATTTCACCTCCCCTGCATGTTTTATCATACCGTAGCACGAATATGAGAGAGTAAGAGAGAGAGGAAATTGATATTCGTTTTCCTATAAAGCCTCCTCTTTTAAAGAAGGTATGCAAGCGAGAGCAATAAAAGGCTTGTCAGGAAAAGGAATAAAATATGTGTGTGATGGTGAGATCTACTTCCACATTGGCTTACTCAGCCAAAAAATAAATGGCTTGCCATGCAAAAATGAAGAGGAGAGAGACAGATGGGGTACGGATGATACAGTAGAATAAAAGATGAACTGCGGTGATCATAGCAGAAAATCAAGCATGAAAAGGAGAGTTATACGATGATCAAGCAAAAGAAATATGAAAAGTGATAGGACAAAAACAACAACAACTAAAATAATCCTAATGGTAAGAGGATCACATACACATACTGTACAAGTTAACAGAGAAAGACACAGACGGAACATACATACCTCTGCTTTGGGAGTGGTGATGGCTCCAGGACAAGTAAAAGTGACGAACTCATGGCAGCGTTTGTGCACCACAAAACTGCAGACTAAAAAAAACGCATCGCAGTAAAGCATAATGGTAAAACATTTAAAATGGTAGAAAATTTTGTTAATATTCCCTATTTTAGGGGCTATAAAAGATCATTAATAGATGAATTAATTAATGTATAATGAGTACACTTAATAGATTTAATAAACAATTTTTCATAATTTAATCAAAAACATTAAATGTCATAATTCATGATATACACTACCGTTCAAAGTTTGGGGTCAGTAAGATATTTTAAAATGTTTGCTTGTTGTTACCAAATTATTTGATCAAAAATACAGTATATTATTACAATTTAAAATAACGCTTTCATATTTTATTAAATTTTAAAATGCAATTTATTCCTTTGATGGCAGAGCCGGTTTTTTTCAACAGTCTCCAGGAATTCAGTCTTCAATGTCACATGATTCTTAATATTACTCAAAAAAATGAACTAGGAAGGTTGTGCACTTTACATAATATATTTATATTTAGTTTACTTATAATAATTGTGTTTTTTGACTTGAAATATTTTTTTCTAGTAAGGTCCACGTAATTATGTCTCAACTTAACAGTACAAAATCCTATTGCGTTGCCTAAACACAAACCATTTATGTTAAGTGAAAAATTCTTGCATCCAGAGGGTGGCAGTATAGTGCGAGCCAACTGCCATTTTGCCCGAACTTAATTTGATTGTGTTCAATCTGCTTAAATATATGTAACATTTAAGTTTACTTAATCCACTTGTGTTGGATTACATGATTGATTTGTGTTGCATTAACTAAAACTGGGCGGTGCTTGTTAGTGCCCAGCATGCTTTGCATATGGTTGAATTAAGAGAGAATAAATGTTAAAATTAAGTGTTATTTTATGTTTTTTTGAGAAAATGATAAAAGGGGAAGACTGGATAGTGTGTAATTGTGTTTAATGTTCAATTACATTTGAATTATTAGCACCATTTAAATTACAGTGGGTTACCATTGTGGAGAAGAGTGGAGCATTTTGTTTGGCTGTGGACTGAATTATTTATTTCAACTGTTTGGTTGACTGAGCATGTTAATCTTAGCATTTAAGATGCTAATATGTGCTACTGCTAGCAAATAGCTAGCTATAGTCTAACAATTTAATTATGTGTTACTAAAATAAATGAAATATTAATAAATGAATGAATATAAAAAATACCCGAATCATGTCAGGAAGCCTTTAAAAAATCACTTTGAGACTACTTTAATAGGGTTGCTTAAAATGACTTCATTCCATGATGTTGAAGTTACATGAACAAATTATGTTGAAGTTAAATGAACAAATTATGTTGAAGTTACATAACAAATTATGTTTGTTTAACATAACCTAGTTATGTGGAACCTGTTGACGAAATAAAATTAAGTAAAGCCAACATATCATTTTTTTGAGTGTATACATTTTTTAATCAGAAATGTTTTATAAATGTCTTTGTCACTTTTGATCAATTTAAAGCTTCCTTGCTGAAAATAATAAATATATATATATATATATACTGTATATACAGTGGGGAGAACAAGTATTTGATACACTGCCGATTTTGCAGGTTTTCCCACTTACAAAGCATGTAGAAGTCTGTAATTTATAGGTACTCTTCAACTGTTAGTGACGGAATCTAAAACAAAAATCCAGAAAATCACATTGTATGATTTTTAAGTAATTCATTTGCATTTTATTGCATGACATACTGTAAGTATTTGATACATCAGAAAATCAGACCTTAATATTTGGTACAGAAACCTTTGTTTGCAATTACAGAGATCATACGTTTCCTGTAGTTCTTTTCCAGGTTTGCACACACTGCAGGAGGGATTTTGGCCCACTCCTCCATACAGACCTTTTCCAGATCCTTCAGGTTTCGGGGCTGTCGCTGGGCAATACGGACTTTCAGCTCCCTCCAAAGATTTTCTACTGGGTTCAGGTCTGGAGACTGGCTAGGCCACTCCAGGACCTTGAGATGCTTCTTACGGAGCCACTCCTTAGTTGCCCTGGCTGTGTGTTTCGGGTCATTGTCATGCTGGAAGACCCAGCCACGACCCATCTTCAATGCTCTTACTGAGGGAAGGAGGTTGTTGGTCAAGATCTCGCGATACATGGCCCCATCCATCCTCTCCTCAATATGGTGGAGTCGTCCTGTCCCCTTTGCAGAAAAGCATCCCCAAAGAATGATGTTTCCACCTCCATGCTTCACAGTTGAGATGGTGTTCTTGGGGTTGTACTCATCCTTCTTCTTCCTCCAAACACGGCGAGTGTAGTTTAAACCAAAAAGCTCTATTTTTGTCTCATTAGACCACATGACCTTCTCCCATTCCTCCCCTGGATCATCCAGATGGTCATTGGCAAACTTCAGACGGGCCTGGACATGCGCTGGCTTGAGCAGGGGGACCTTGCGTGCGCTGCAGGATTTTAATCCATGATGGCGTAGTGTGTTACTAATGGTTTTCTTTGAGACTGTGGTCCCAGCTTCAGGTCATTGACCAGGTCCTGCCGTGTAGTTCTGGGCTGATCCCTCACCTTCCTCATGATCATTAATGCCCCACGAGGTGAGATCTTGCATGGAGCCCCAGACCGAGAGAGATTGACCGTCATCTTGAACTTGTTCCATTTTCTAATGATTGCGCCAACTGTTGTTGCCTTCTCACCAAGCTGCTTGCCTATTGTCCTGTAGCCCATCCCAGCCTTGTGCAGGTCTACAATTTTATCTGATGTCCTTACACAGCTCTCTGGTCTTGGCCATTGTGGAGAGGTTGGAGTCTGTTTGATTGAGTGTGTGGACAGGTGTCTTTTATACAGGTAACGGGTTCAAACAGGTGCAGTTAATACAGGTAATGAGTGGAGAACAGGAGGGCTTCTTAAAGAGAAACTAACAGGTCTGTGAGAGCTGGAATTCTTACTGGTTGGTAGGTGATCAAATACTTATGTCATGCAATAAAATGCAAATGAATTACTTAAAAACCATACAATGTGATTTTCTGGATTTTTGTTTTAGATTCCGTCACTCACAGTTGAAGAGTACCTATGATAAAAATTACAGACTTCTACATGATTTGTAAGTGGGAAAATCGGCAGTGTATCAAATACTTGTTCTCCCCACTGTATATATCAATTTTTAATTTTTTTTAAAGAATCCAAACACAAAACTTTTGAATGCCATGATGCAGCAAAAATATACTGTTAAAGTGAGATTAAATGGAGGGAGTACGTCATTTAGCTACAGGTCTTTGCTACATTGCTTTTTTTTTTGCCCTATTTATACAGGACAGTGCAGACAGCAGACAGGAAGCAAAGTGGGGAAAAGAGAGATAGATGGATCAGAAAGGACCACAAGCTGGGACTTGATCTCAGGCCAAAAAATAGCTTTGCTCAGACTTTGCTGTCTCAGCTTACTCATTGTCAAATATGAGTTGCTTCAGCAAACCACTTTTCAATCTTCACATGGACCCCATAGACATTGAGGGGGACATGGAATAGGCCTACAATTTACGTTAGGTCCCCTTCAGTATGGAATATTTGGTCACATCCTTGGACCTGGGATGCTCATTCACAGCAATGTATGATATCGAGTAATGCAATTAATTCAGAAATAGGCTAGGTGACTTTGATGATAGGAAGCCCCAGATAGAATCAGTTATTTAGCATTTTCTACACTCATTTTGTTTTTGGTTGAGTACAGGTGTGGAATGAATTTCAATCCTTACCTTGACACTGGAATCCTTGCTTTCCAATTCCCCTGTAAAACATAAACAACAACTCACATAATGCTGTCTAATTATATTGTATGTTAATGCATTGATTTGTGAGAAAGAGCAGATCTTACAGAGCTGGAGTGTGTGTGTGTGTGTGTCTCCGCACAGAGGGCAAACAGAAGACATAAGCTGCTAAGGCCGTGACAGATAAGGTAATTTCAAGAAATCCTCATCCGACGGGCAATTTAAGTGCTCTTCAGTTCACCATAATAACAGGTTGCTCTGCTCATGATATCTTTGCTATGCAAAACACAACTTAGCATAAATCCCTAAAGTACTAAAATAAGATACTTTGACACTCAACACTTTGGGCATGATATGCTCTCAAAATGCATCTGAGAGTATCTACGACTCTTTAAGAGCGTCCTTCAGACCAGTCGACAGGGTTTGAGAGATGTGAGCCATCAACATCAACATATACTCAGAAATATAGGATGAGACAAGACAAGGGCAAAGAGAACCAAGTTAATAGAATTCAATAGTAATTTATGTACTGTATAGGGTTTGTTTAGTACATTCAGTTGCAGTAGTCACCTCAATGTCAAAATAAATATATAAATAGACCCAAATTCACCCTTCACTCACAAAAATACTTAGACCTAAATTTAAGATGTATTTGAATTGCAAATAAAATTTCCATCCATTTGGAATACACAGTTTTAACATAAACAGACTAATAAACTTAATATGACATTTGGCAGTCATTTCATAAACGGAACAGTTAAGATTTATGTAATGTACAAATGAACGGAATGAGTTTTAAAAACATAATAACCAGGTACAATTTAATTTGTTTCATTCTCATAATTTTAACTAATTGATAATTGCTTGTTCCTAAGCTAGCCATATTTTAACAATGTTTATTATTTTTAACTGAATACATTTGATTGTTTTACAAATTTACAGATTTATGCTGATTCCTAAGCAATTTGAACAAATAGGTGCAAAAAGTTAGTAATAAACTACTGTATGCTACGATTTTCTTTTTTTTAGTGCAGAAATGTACCCGCTTTTTTATGGATGACTATCAAATATGCACCACATTAAGTTTATTAGTTTATGTTAAAACCGTGTAATCCAAATGAATAAAAACTTTATATGCAATTCAAATAACATAAATCTTATATTTAGGCCAAAATATTTTTTGAGCAAATAAAACAAAAATACTATAATAATAATAAAAATTATATAAACAATATACATATAATAATTAAAAAAATCCTCCAGTGTATTAATAATAATAATAATAATAATACATTTTCTTTAGATGTTGCAGTTGCATGTAATGCTTGTAATGGTAAAAATCGGACTTCTTATATTAAATTCAATGACTTTCTCCCTGTAAATGTGTTGATGGTATCGTACCGTTGGCATACAGTATATATTGCAGAATAGACTTGCAGTAGTTTAAGCTAAGGAAAATTAAAAAAGCTAAAATAAAATATATACAAAAGAAATTTCCCTAGTCTCCCCTACTATACTATTCTTTGGAAATTCTGTACTCCAACAGACATAACAATAAAATTTCAATGAACTGAAATGAAAGGACAGGACAGACAGAGAAACAGATGCATCTATCAGAAGCTATTTGAGTTGTACTAATGAACATGAGGCACAGAATATGAGTGGGTAATGCATGGGCCATATGGCCGGCCACAGTTCCATGCGGGTTCTGTGAAGCTTGTGGTTAAATGGCAGCTCAAACAGAGAGGACTGCATAATTTAAGAAGCCCCTCAGGGCATGAGTTTTATGAGGCATGGAGGAAACTGTGAACAAGCACGGTCATGTAACACACGTGTGGGACAGTGTTTTTTCTGCCCTCTCTTGTGTGTGTCATCGAAAGCGTACTGAAAATATTAACCAAGTTCTTTTGTCTTGTTTTCCAGGGGAGAAAAAAAAGAGGAATATTTATAGATAAATTAACTAATTACACAACTAACACCATAGTATGTTGAATTAGGTTTGTTTTTCTTACCATTTTTTGGTTTCAAGCATAAACCTCATTAATGTTTTATTACATATAAGCTTAAAACTTGCAATTCATGCATGGTCATACAAAAAGTATGTTTAATTGCAAGATTGTACATACACTACTGTTCAAAAGATTGGAGTCAGTAAGATTTTTTTTTTTAAGAAATTAATATTTGCATGCGTTGAATGATGCATTGAATTAAAAGTGACATATATTTTTTTACAATGTAAAAGTCTTAACTATTTCAAATAAATGCTGATATTTTGAACTTTCTAATCAAAGAATGCTGAAAACATATTACAGTTTCCCCAAAAAATATTAAGCAGCACAACTGTTTTCAATGGAACACTGAAGATTGGAGTAATTTGCCAATACATTACATTTTAAAACATATTAAAACAGAAAACACAGTTTTCTCCACAGTTAGACACAGCTAACTGTATTCGAATAGCATGTAAGAGCTAATAGAGGCTTCATATCATAACAATTCAGTATGAACTATAAAGTCAGAGGCCAGTACAGCATTGAGAGTGAGTTATGATATGAATCAGGATATGGGCATTACGTTTTAGGATTAAATCAATACATAAATGCAGTGCTGTGTAAAGGTTAAGGTAAAAGTATCGGTTTACAGCATAATAATGTTACGAGTTCAGTAGAGTTACTGAAGTGGCCAGCAGTGTTAAAGGTGTGAAGTACCAGATGAAGTCAGTGCAGTGGCTGCAGAAAGTGGGCTGCTTGAAGAATCGGGCAGTGAACTGGTGGTCCTTCACTTCAATGATCCTCTTGTGTTTGAGAGCTCCCTTCCTCTGGAAGACTGGCAGCCTGGGGGGAGGAGACAGAGGAGAGGGGAGCGGAGAGGAGGATGGAGATGGGGAGGACAGGGCCAGGGGAGACAGAGATGGAGATGGAGAGACCGGGGCAGACATGCTACCAGTTGGACAGAGCAAGACACAGAGAACAAAGACTGGGATAGGGATGGATGGTTTATGCAACCAAGGGGTAGGAGAATAAATAAGAAGAAAAACGTCTGGTAGAACACAGATCAGGCATAAGAGGTTACATGGAACGTAGAGGAATGAATTCAATAGGATGTGATGGCAGTTCGGTTTGTGATGTTGAGGAAATGAAAGGAAGAGATTCCCAGGAGAAGGAAAGGGAGGGTGAGAAACAGAGTAAAATAGAGGTTAATACACACTCCAAGAGAAACTTCCACTGGGACTTCAAAACGCATAGCGATTAGTGTACCTTCTGCCCTACTTCACACACACACACACACACACCCTCACGCACGCACCCCTCCCACACGATACCTCATTATATTAAAATGTATAAAATATGTATTGTTTTATATCATTTTAAAGTTTAAATTGTCATTTAAATTCGAATTTATATATATATATATACACACATATAACTGAACAAAAATGACAGATTTTTTGCCGATTTAAGGTCAGTCAGAAATGGAGTGCATTAGGATCGATTCCATTAATAAAACAGAATAAAGGAAGAAAAGCAGAAATAGATGATGACACAGGATCAAATCAAACAGGAAACGACACTGAACAAATGATCGTCACATTAATTAAAGAGGAGATCTACAGAGCGGGAGAATGAAGAAAGGAAACAAAGAATTTAGGACATCCACCAATGACAAAGTGACAAAGAATACATTTAAGAAAGAAAGAAAGAAAGAAAGACAGAAAAAGAATACAAACAAACACAACAGGTACCTAAATGTGAGAGTATTGGTTTCTCCTCTTCCTCCCACTTCTTCTTAAGACTCTTGCTATTCTATGCGATCAATCCTTGGCTCATAAAAAGTACAAAGGAAAAAAAGAGACAACCTCACCAAACAGAAGGTCTACAAGAGAGGAAACAAAAAAAGAATCAAACCCCAAAAACAAAATTAAGAATGAAGGGAAGGATGAAACAGCAGCTTTCCAGGAAAGAGAGAAGGAGGAGTAAATGGTCGTATATTCCTTTATCCAATAGAGAGAATAGAGGGGGTGAGGAAGAGGCGATTTTCACTTTCCAAGATTGAATCTGTTTTTACCAACAGAAAGAGGGGATGAAGTGAAGTGAAGTGAGAGAGAGAGAGAGAGAGAGAGAGAGAGAGAGAGAGAGAGAGAGAGAGAGAGAGAGAGAGAGAGAGAGAGAGAGAGAGAGAGAGAGAGAGAGAGAGAGAGAGAAATAGGCAGCAATTCATTTTTGAAATCTGGGTTACCCCTCTCTAGAGTAAAAAAGAGACAGATGATGGGAGGGTGAGGAAAGAGGACATAGAGAGAGAAAGAGAGGGAGATGTTGGCCACCAGCTCGCTCATCCTCGGACAGCCAGTAGCTCCTGTACATGGAAAGCAAAGAAATCTGATCAGTGATCAATAGTCCGCTTCAGTCTGTAAAGCTGCCAGTCTCGCTCTATAAAAGAGTTTGGACAGATGGGAGTCTTGGCAGTCGTCATGTTCATCCATGAGGCCTTCACGACTGTTCCAGTGAACCGCTGACAATGAGACAGGAAAATCAGTATTCCTGAAAAGAGGAACATAAAGCATTATACAGCAGATTTGTGAGACAATTTAAAATAAATAAATCGAACTATATATTTGATAATTAAATTGAACAATTGTTTTATATTATATATATATATATTCAGCCAGGATGCATTTAATTGATTAAAAGTTAGCCTACATCATTGTTACAAAAAATTGTAACTATTCAAAGAAATCTGAAAGAAAAGTATGTGTTTCCACAAAAATACTATGAAAACTGAAGGATCATGTGACTGAAAACTAGTAATGATGAGTAATGATGCTGAAAATTCAGCTTTACCATCACAAGAATAAAGAACATTTAAAATATATTCAAATAGAAAACATAATTCTTTTAAATTGTAACCATTTCACGATATTACTGTTTTACTGTGTTTTTGATCAAATAAATGCAGCGTTGGTGAGCCAAAACATTACAAATTATGTTAAAAACAGTAAAACATTAAAATCTTATCAAGCTCAAACTTTTGAGTGTATAAAAATAAAATAAAAATAAACAAATAAATAAAATAAAGTAAAGAAAAATAAAATAAATAATAAAATAATAATTACCGTAAGTTGTAGGGGTGCACGATTCAGAAAATCTCACGATTCGATACCGATTTTTTGTCTCAAGATTCGATTCAAAATCGATTTTCGATTCAAAAACGATTCTCGATTCAAAAAACGATTCGCAGTATATAAATGTAGTTTACTTTTTCCTATGTGATTGATTGCAGTAGACACAATTTAAAAATTTTTTAAAAAAATAAATAAATGTAGTTTGATATTACTTTATGTCTTCATACAAATTTAAAAACTTTTGCAACTAAAAAGTGCAAAGTGCCAAGCTTTGGCCAGCTTTCAAATACATTTAATTCAAGTTTAAAATAAAACTTAAATAAAAAGCTTTTACATTTAGCTTTAAAGTGCTGTAGTCAGATCAAACAAACAATTATGCTAAATGTGGTTTAAGGACTACTTCAGCTACCAGGCTGACTGTTGAAATGTGAACTCGACTGGGCACATTGAACTTCCTAAAAATATACTAATGTCATAGAACCCTTGCGAAATAATTTTAAATAGATTTTAAAAAGCCAGTGCTACTGGTAACATCTATGGTTAGATTGATTTGTTTAGATCCAGTGAAGTCGTTCATAGGCGTAATTTGCGGGTATCTCCAGTTAACTAGCAGGTATCTCCAGTTAACTAGCAGAGCATTCATTTAGTTCGCTATTAAATAAGAGATCTGTTGTTTTTGAAATCAAGCTGAGCGCTGACAGCGCTCGTTGCCGCTGCTATCAGTGTCATGGATACAGTGTTCTCTGTGGCTCGCGCAGTCTTCACTACACTTCATATCGGCTTCATATCGCCGTTGTGGTTCCGGTGAAATCTCAAAATAAAATGCACACAAACGTGATGAACATATTCGGTTTTGATGAGAGAGAGAAAAAACTATACGAGAGTGGTTTAGAACCCGTAACCTCTGATACGCTTGGCAAAAGATCTACAGACCATTAAGAACTCAAACATGAGTAGGCTGCACAGTTTGACCAGCGGGCGGCAAGAACTTGCAATGTAACTATTTATCAGACCGGCCCTCGCAGCCTCGAAACACTACCGAACCACCGGTAAAAGTCCCGACTCACCCGATTGCCACTCCGCCCGTGCACGCCATAATAAAAAAAATAAAAAAAGAATCGATTTTTGGAATTCTATGAATCGATTCTGAATCGGTAAAGATTGAATCGCGATTCAAATGTGAATCGATTTTTTTTGCACACCCCTAGTAAGTTGATCACAATTATGTAAAAAACAAACAAAAAAAACATACACACTCGTCACCCGAATGGCAACTCTTATATCATATTCAAATTTACATCAAATAATGTATATAAAACAATATGTGAGAGAAAATTAAAATATAAAATAAAAATAATTACCATAAAAATGCTGAGCCTCTCTAGATAAAATAAAAATTGCTATAAAAATGATCATTTTGACTCAAAAGTTCACTTTTGCTCAGATAATTAAAAAATAAATATACAGTATTATGTGAGAATTTGAACCCAGGTCCCTAAACCCAGGCACACTAAACAAAAAAACACTAACAACACATCAATAACACAATAACATGTCTTATCTCGCCTAGAGCAAAAGTGAGTCAGAAGTGCCCCCGGTGCCCCTGAAAACAAATAGGTGCATGAGGCTCCTGCACACAGGTGGCTTTATAGCACTCACTGCATCTGAAACCAGGTCACAGAGTGTGTGTGAGAGAGGGAGGAGGCAGACAAGATGGCCGGCAGACACTGACATTAAAAGAGGGAAGAAGACCAGAGGGAAGGGTGACAGTGAGGGGTCCGGCCACTGTGCTGTTATATTGGGACGAGGGCGCAAGAAACGTTGTTAGAACGTAACACTAACCCACTAACTTCAAGAGAACAGGAGTGGGACAGAGTCCAAGAGGTGATGTGAAGAGAAGAGAGGATGAGAGGAAGAGGGAGGGAAACGGGAGAGTGAGTAAAAGGTTGAAGGTCTAATTATGTAAAATGTAGGTTATTAGTCTCCTGATGGGGACACTATGAGAAAATTAATTAACAATTATAATTAGCAAGATTGTTAGAGAGCAAAACGGTGTCATTGGACAGGTATGTGTATGGAGATTTAGAGGAGTGTGTGTGTGTTGCTGTCATTGAGAGTGAGGGTGTGTAGGTCAGCGTGGTTTATATCTTAATTTCAGATAGAGGCACATGCTGCAGCAATGATTTCAGAGCTTCAGTGTCTCATGCCTGCAGTGATATATCAATGCCAGCTTCATGTCTGTAATGCTGTAATGGAATCCTAATGCAGAAGCTATATATTATTGTATAATTCTTACATTTAAAGGGAAAGTTCACCTTAAAATGAAAATTCAGTCATTCATGTCGTACAAAACCTGTGTGACTTTCTTCCTTTGTACTAGTTGTACTGTCCAATTATACTAGTCACTCTTTTCCATGCAATTACATTAAAAGGGTTTCAAGCTTCAAAAAAAGGTGAAAGCACCATAAAAGAGACACGTGTGTGTTTTCCTTGTTCTAGCTGTCCTTGGTGCGTTTTATGAACAAACATGGTTTTGAGTTCGATTTTGTCAATGAATCAGTTGGATCCAGTTCACAAAAGCAGTCAGAATGATTGATTCACAAATCAGACTGATCCAGCTCAAGTTCAACTCACTGACTCAACTTGTGTGTCACTGCAGTAACAGTTCACTGGAGGAGATTGTCAGTGAATAACTCACAGCATTTTACTCACACAATGCTATGCTGAATATAGTACACAAGTCGTATATATGCATGGACCACTTTTATGATATTTCTCTGGTGCTTTGGCACCCTTTTTGAAATTTGAAATCCCTAAATAATATGATAACGAGTAACAGTTTACAATCTCAAGCAGCATAGTTTTTGAACAGCTAAATTGAAGTGAGACCTTGACACAATC